AATAAGAATTATCTAATATTTCTTTTTATCTTTTTTTTTGGAGGGAAATTTTAATTCAGTAATTTATTTATTCATTTATTTATTTATTTAATTGCGAGTTGATTTTAATTTACGTCAATTTATGTTTCTTCTCACTCTTAATTTCTTTTTAAATAATTAATTGGTACAAAAAAAGAATTATCTAATATTTCTTTTTATCTTTTTTTTGGAGGGGAAATTTTAATTCAGTAATTTATTTATTTATTTACTCATTTTTTTATTTAATGGCGAGTTGATTTTCATTTACGTCAACTTATATTCCTTCTATCTGTTTCTCTCTCCCTCTCTCTCTCTCCCTCCTCCCCCCCCCMCCCACCCAGTTTCTTTCTCTTTCTATTTAAACTATCCTTTTTACTTAAAGTTAGTTCGTAAGTTACTAGACCACTCACTTGTAACCTCACCGTACGACTGGTTTATCTTTTCTCAGACTTCGATAAAAAAAAAGAATGTATAATAATCTCTCTAACAGTAGAATCTGAAACGTCTTATTTAATTTTCTACTCAAAGCGAACGATTACGTCGTATTAGACATGTACGTCGATATAATAATATAATCTAGTTAACTGATCTACATTACTATATTATTTTTATATTCTTAGGCTTATAATATAACATGTAAATTATTTTCATACGATATTGTAGAAGTAAAAGTAGATATTTTTTAAGTATGCTTCGATAATCAAAATAAATTAGCATAGTTTAATGCCATTTCTTTTTACTTTTTATTTTCTTTTCTTTTTTATTTTTATGACAAGAAATGATACTTGATAACAAAAAAAAATGTAAATATAGTAATAATTATAATAATAATAAGAAGAAGAAGAAGAATTATTATTTCTAGTTATGCTTTACTAAAAATGACTATATTTGTAGATATGAAAAAACAAAAAGTAAAGAATGAAACATAAATAACAAATAAGATAATATTATATAAGTCTGAAAGGCTGATTTTTGTTAACACATTGGCGTCGGATTACGCGAAAATACGCAATTGTGAATTTCATATTTATCTATCATGGAAATAAATTAAAAAAAAGAAAAAAACACCAATGCTACAAATGTATTTAATTTTTATCATTAAACCATAACGGGGATGATTAACGGAATCGAAACAGCTTTATTTATTTTACTTTATTTTTCTATCCACCGATTGAATCTTCCCCTTTTTTTGTATGTATAAATATTAAAAGAAAAACAAAAATTATTGTACGTACGTGATTAAGTAGAAAAATGAAATAGTCATTTTAAAAATATAAATGATATACATTTCTTATTTTCTTCAACTCGTGTTTAAATTTAAAAAAATGATTTTAACAAAAAAAAAATAAAAAATAAAGAAAAAATAACAGACTAAATCTGTTATCAATTATTCATGTGATTTTATAAAAAATATTCAATGTTGTTAACTTAAGCTCATTATTTATTTCATCCTAATCTCTGAACGAACAAAATTATTGACGTCATACAGGATGTATAACGTTAACCCTTAATCTTAATCTTTCCCTTACGTAACTTTTTCCCTTTTGAAGGGAAGTCTTTAATTTCATTCAAAAAAAAAAAGCGCGCGAAAAATCGACGAGTAACGAAGATCTTTCGATAAGAAACACTGCGAGGGTTTCTTCAAAGTGGGCGGGGGGGGGGGGGGTGTAAAGTGGAGGGTTGTGTATATAAAAAGAAAAGAAATTAATAAAAACTATTACTTTTTTTGTTTTCTTTCCTTTGAAATAAGCGAATAACTTGAACAACAACGTTCGACTATGAGAATCCGTATCACTGTATGATTGGTTAAATTGTTAATCACAATCGTATTACACATTTAACACTCTATTCACGTGTTTATTCACGAATAAATAAATGAAGAAAAAAAAAAGGAAAGGAAGAAAAATCGAAAGAAATTAAATATAATTATATTCTCATGAAAACACGAAATATATAAAAACAAAAAAAAAACAAAAAAAAAAGGAAAATCTCTTCGATCGTTCTTAGATTAAAAAAAAAAAATATCTGATTTCGAAAAAAATAAAATACACATTTAACACTATCCACGTGTCTTATTCACAAATAAAT